ACCCCCATCTGCCACATGCCACACACAGAAGCTGCCCATGCCACTTGTGGTATCCATGCTGCAGGCTGGCCACCCCTGTGCTAGTCATGTAAAATGTGGCATCCACTGGGAAAGCCTGGGAATTTAAAACTAGTAAAATCTATCAGTGTCAAAAGGGAAGCAATGAGACATCAGATGCTGTAAATATGAATTAGCAAGCATTCACTCACCCAACACAGTAGATGTCTGGAGGATCTTGGTCACAGATTAACCAGGGTTCCAAGCTGCTGTCTGGAGACTGACCATTAACATTCCACGTTCCCACAAAAAATCTGAAATTCAAAGAAAGTTGCCTGCTACTGGACAGGACTTTATCAGCAGAGTAGGTCCAGATCCCTCAGTGTATACACACTGACATCAAAGAATTATACTCATGCAGTGTACAAAAGCTCACATAATAAGTTATGTGAACTGTACAGGAGAAACAGTAATTACTCCTAAAACTAAATGACTGCAAGACAGACAAATCTAGGCATGGCTCATTTTTAACTTACTAAGCCTTCCCAGATCTCAGCAAAACAGAGGACACTTCCCTGTGGCTGAGGTCCATGATACCCTTTCACATTTTTAAAGTGAATTTCACGTCATCAAAATGTGCCAGATTAGAGGTTTTCAGGCCTCCGGGCTGCTAATCACAGGCAACCTGCCTATAGACCTCTTCTGCAAAAGATCCTTGGCTTTGTTTAGGACTAAGGAGAATTCAACCCTGAGCCTCTTGACTGAGATCATCCACATGATACCAGGATAATGATGGGAAGAGGAAACTGGTTTTCTTGTGGATACCTGTCCACTGAGGCACTGCACTTCCTTCCTTCCTTCTGGTGTCCTTGTTCTTGTGACAGGGTATTTAGCAGCCTTTGCAGATTCATTTGAATCTGACATGGCCGCACTGTGAACACTTCTGTTATAGCCTCAAACTTGCGACCTCTGGACTGTCAACTGTGCACCTTAGTGCCTGCATCACCCCAGCCCCCAAAGCACTGCACTGAATCTCACCTACTCATTTCACATATGCTATCTGCCATCAGATCTGAATTTCAGACCCAAATTAGATTCAAAGCAATGACCTAAAGAAGAGGTGAAAATCCTGTTTCTGACTATACCCACATGTACTAGGTCTCATAGTTACAGTTTCGGCAACAATCCTAACCTGAAGTTTTGAATGTTGACAAACTCTCTCTCTCTCTTGGCAAGCACATATTTGATGAGCCCTTCTCTTTGCCCAGACTGTGTGCTGGGCACAAATAGTTTGCGCATAGTGTTGGTTACTTTTGGCTGTTCCCTGGCTACATTCTCTTTCTCTCGGTGAAACCTAAAAAGGAAACAAGAGCAGAATTCAAACTAACATTGCTGCTTAGGAGATAGAAGAGCAAAGGGAACACACCTGAGATCCTACTTACTGCCTACTACTTTGTGGCAGAGGAGGTGGTGGGGGCTCCCGGCGAGATCCCATTTGCTGGTTTTGTAAGTTTCTCTTATTCTCCAGACTTAGGGCATTGAAATTATCCTCAAAGCCTAGAATGCCTGTAATGACAGAAGCCTAGACTGAGAAGTTGGTGCTTAGGCAGGTGCGATTCAGAAACCAGTTTCAAAAAGGTTATAATTTGGAGAGGACAACTGAACTCTAAGAGGGAGAAGCAAGAGTCCCTGGGGAATGTGGGAGATGCCAAGTGGAAGCAGTGATATACCTACCCCAATGTTAATACAGGGAAGAGCCAGTGGAACCAGTACTTGAGATGGAACCAGTATGGAACCAGTACTTGAGATGCACAGACCAAGGCAATGGAGAAAAGGTAATGAACCAACAGGGGCTTTGGCACAGGGAAGGACAGGGCCACAGTAATATACTGCCCGGGGGTGTTTTATTTTTTGCAGGGTTAGACTGGATGAGGGACAAGCACAAGACAGCATCCTACATGACAGGGTCAACAAAAATCAAAGTTCAATGAACCAATGATGTCACCTTTATCTTGCCCAACCCCACTTTCTTGCAATGAGGGCCCCAGAATTGTGCACTGACCACAAGGCAACATCTGCATAGAAAAGATTTACTCTGGTACCTGAAGCAGAAGACTGAGAAGGACCTGGGAGGTTTTGTTCCATCTGATACCTGCTGACTGGGTCCCTTGATTCAAGAAAAGGAGCTTTGGACTGGGCTAGAAGAAGAAATACTGCCATCAGAAAACTGCTCCTGAGCTAAGGGAGCACATGGGGTTTTGAGTCTGGTTACCTTCCTGTATGTTCTGCACTTCTGAAAGGAACCGCAAGCAGCTGTCCTCATCAGGGATCTCAAAGAGACGCTCCGTTGTCCTATCACCCTGTATCCTTATCTTGCAGGCAGCTTCAGGCATATAACACACAACACACATCAAGCCAGTTATGGTTCAGTTTCCTGACCTTCAAATTCCTACAGGCCTCAGGCGCCATTTGCTCTACTGGGCCCATTATGGAATTCCTCATTTATTTATTTATTTAAAAGGTATTTTGACAACTTGACATCTAGTCTATTTTTGTTAAAGTGAGGCAAGTCAACTTCAGGTCTCATTGTGCCTCCACTGATTTGGGGTGGGGAAGTGGGGGGAATAGTTTACATTTGTATTTCCTTGGCTTTTAAGAATATTTCTCTTCCCTGTGTCTAAGTGAAAAGCCATCTCAAAACAACAGAGGAAGACTCCTTTAGAAAGGAGATGGTAACAATGACTAGAGACATGAAGTGCTGTCAAACAAATACTGCAAAAGGCAAACAGATCAACCACAGCTTTATTTGTAAGAGTACACATACACTTTCAGAGAGAAGAGTGATTGCAGATCCCCTGAGACACATAACCTACATGTTATTCTTCTTATACACTTGATAATCTAATCCTGACATGCACTTTTTCTCCCCACTGTACAGGGCAAAGCCAAGCCCACGTATAGCAGTGGTCTACAGTGCGTATTAAGTATCACAGGAACCTTTAGAACATGAACACATCAGAAGTAAAATTATGTACCAAATCCAAACAGCATTCACCTTTCCATTGCTAAAAGCTACTGAAGGGGTCATTTCTGTACGGCTTCAAGAAGTATGTAACAACAGCACAGGCACCAGGAAAGAGGGGCTCACAGAGAGTGGGCTTGAGCAAAGTGGCTAGGAAGTGGTTAAAACTCAGCCAAGTGACTCTCCATCTTGATATTTAGATTACACTTATGATAAGAGTGCCTTTCAAAGGTGTAAACAAACCAGCCCTACCCTTCCCCCCTACCCCTTAAAGCCTTGCAGGGAATAAACTATATCGCTAACAAAAGGACAGAAAATAGGGGTAGGGCACAAAACACAAAAACAGAGTGCTTAAACAGGAAGGAGTGCATGTCAAGGACAGAAGTAAGTTACTGTGATCATAAGACTTACTGTTTGTAGCTATATCAATCAGAAGAGTTTCTTCGGCCTCTAGAAGAGAAGAGAGAAGAATCAGGAGAGTTTAGAGTGTCCTGGCACACTGAAGAAACTTAGCCCACACACAACAAAACACAAAGCCTACCCTTTCCTACAAGATTACCAGCACCACCAAAGGAACGAAGGGCTTTTGTATGCCTCTCCAGTATGGAAAGGTATCACTCCTCAGAAGCTGGCATAGACAGAGGTCCCTGCACAGTGGAAGTGCTACTAACAGGTCTTTAGAGAGGCCTTTCAGGAGCTACATATTTGGGATGGGACTAAGGCTCCCTAACGCATAGTATTTTCTTATAGGAAAGAATAAACAATGTTTAAAACCCAACCATTTTCAGTCACTACTGACTTATGCTGGATGCTAGAATTTCATAAGCCATCACTTATGTTGATCTAGCCAAGACCCACATATCTACATTTAGGCTGATATGAAACATCTCCCCACGTTTGGAAGAAGTAGGAAGCCAGGATCATAAACCCCCAGTTTTAGCTCCATAAGGAGCTAAAACTGTCTGGTCTATCCAGCCAGGCGCTCGGTTGGCAGATTAGGGATGGGAACTAAATGCATTCCTTTCCTGCTTAACAAACAGCAGTGGATTTCTGACACTAATGGTTAGGGGGTAGCTGTGGGAGAGTCAGTACCTTGCACACATCTAAAGTGACCATTGATGGGAATGTTACACTGGTCAGGTGGTTCCTTCTCCAGTGAATGGATAACTAACCTGGAAACAGAGGGAAGACTTGTAACAACAAAGTTTGAAACATTTTAGAGCAAAGGCATTATGCGATGATAGCTGTATTTCTCAGATCCAAAGAGGACATGGTGCCTAGTCTCCCCCTACCCTGCTGAAAATGAGTTAAAAAAAGGAAGTGCATTAATCAGAAGCCACACACAGATGCATGCTTGCAACACTGTGCAACTCAAGTTCCACTGATGGAGGAAACAGGTGAGGTTCCAGGACAGCAGTGGCACTGCTTCTTGGCAGTGGGTCCACAGACAATGCCTGAGCAATGGGGGAACAGCTCTGTGTTTAGAGGACAGGCTCTAAGTGGAAGGGAAGACTCCACACACATTCAGGAAAAGTAGAAAGCTAGGATCATAAGCCCTGAGTTTTAGCTCCACAGGGAAGTGCCTCGTCTGTCCAGCCAGGCACTCAGCTGGCAGACTAGGGATGGGAACTAACTGTGTTCCCTTCCTGCTTGACAACCGTCAGTGGATTTCTGACACCAGTGGTAGGGGAAGACTCCAGCAGTTCATACAGCAACAGCAGTGGCAGTGGCCCCACATCTGGACACAAATGCTCTACACCTGTCACCGTTCTGAGCCTGTTACAGTGGCATCAACTCCGCCCCGAAGCTGAGGCAACATAAAGGGGATTTCTACGGATATGGCCATCCCTGCAGGGACAGGGAACCAACTGTGGCAATAAGAAGCCAGGATCCCAGCGCCAGCATATCTCTGCAGGCTGCAGCAGACAAGGACAGGGAAAGAGGAAGGAATCGCCTCCGCCTCTGCTGGAAGTGGTGATATCGGGGTCCCAGCTGCACACAAGGCCGCAGTGCCAGGCACTGCACTGCACCTGCAGATGGGGAGCAGGCAGAAGTCAGTCCCCAGCACGCAGGGGAAGGGCCTGGCTGAGACCCCGCCGGGTTTCACCTGCCTCCCTGCTGCACGGGCACCGGTCCAGGCAGGGCAGGGCTCTCCGGGGCGGGGCAGAGCAGCGGCTCCCAAGTCAGGCCGGGCCGAGCCGGACAGCAGGAGGCCGCGGACACTTACGGGGCAGCCCCGTCCCGCCTCGGCGACTCAGCGCACAGAGCCGAGGCCGCCACGATCCCCGTCCCAGGGCCCCATTCCCAGCCCGGCCGGCGCTACTCACTCGAGGCGGCCGTGGCGCGGGGCGAGGCTCAGCACACAGCGCTCCCGCCGGCCCGCGCGCAGCTCCACGCCCTCCACAGCCTGCGCGCAGCTAAGGAACCCGACCGGCCACGACCGGCCCGCGCCCCG